GAGTCTGTCTGGCTGCGGAGAGACTGAGGCTGCAGCTCAAGAGACTGAGGCTGCATCCCCTTTATTTCAGTCAGTGTTAAGGCTGAAGAAGCCCCTTGGTGGCAAGTGAAGGTCCATCTTTGGATCTGAATGCTGTGTGTTGAACTATTTTGCAATAGACAGAAGCCTTCTAGAAAGAGGAAGGAATATCTCACTGAGCTGATCTTCAAAGACCTCATGAATAACACTTTATTGCTCAATAATTGGTTGTACTCCGTGTTATATGGCCGAGAAATGGGAAGAAGGTTTTTCTTTTGTTGTTGTTTGTTTTTTTTTGTTTGTTTGTTTTTTCTCCTTATTGGCTAACTTTCCTCTTCCCCAAATACTTTGCATAGCTGGAGAATGTGACTTCAGGAGGGCAATTGAGAAGTGAAGGGGATTTGACAGCTTAAAGTAACCATTCAAATGAAGCAAAGCAAATGGGCAGCACTATTTCCATTTTAAGCATTGTCAGGGTAACAAGCATGCAACCGAATTTCAGAAAGAATGCATGGATGGGAGATTATTTGGGCAGCAGTAAAAGCACCGGGAGAGAATTAATGGAAACAGAAATGAAGTTAGAAAATAAATTTAGAAACACACTTTGCCTTAGGGTTAAAATATTCAAAGCATTCTGTGTACTTGGATGTCAAATTCCCGTTCAAGTTAATAACTAAAGTTCTATTTCCCTCTTTTGAGCTTCGATTTTTGTGTGCGTGCTCAAGAAAATGTTAAGCACTGAACAGGTTTTTTTAAGCAGCAGGGGCTCTGCTTTCCCACCTGGGTCAGGTGGATCAGCTCCTGTATTCCAGCTCCTCCATCACCTGGGAAAGTGTTTTTAGTGGCACATGTTGCTGGCTTTGAGAAGCAGGTGGAATCTGATGAAGGGGGGTAAGTTACAGTTCCACAAGTTGTTTAATTACATGCATATTGTGACGGGCAATTAGAAGTCTATTCTTTTTAGTAAGCTGATACCAAAATAAACACAGGCACTGGAAACTGGGAGAAGATGAGATTTGGCGGGTTGGAAGGACATAGTAACACAAAGGCTGTGGTGGGAGCCTACTGTGACAGGCAGCTGACTGTCAGTGCAGTATTTCTGCTCAAAGAACATTCTTAGGTGTGAACCAGTCTCTGAGCCAGAGGAAAGTAGTGAATTCTTCTAGAAAATGTTTTGGTGGTTCTTTTTCTGGGAAAACAGGTGCGGTCTGACCTTTTGTTTCTTCCTCACTGTGGCCAAGTGGGAGCATTCTTACTGAACATTGCATCATATTTCTTGCCTTGTTTTCTTGAATGCTAAAGCCCTGTGGAGTTTATTGTTTCCTAATGTTCTCCCTGACTGGAAGGGTGAGGATGCTGCAAAAATGAACAGAGGAGAGTCTGTGTATTAAAACTGAAAGCTGAAACAGCAGCTCATGGGGCACCCGAGCCCTTTTGCAGCTGATGACTGAACCTGCAGAGCTGCAGTGGCACAGTTCACCTGCTAAACCATCTCTGCCAGGGCTGGTGCACTTTGTGCTGAAAACATGTGTTGTTCTCATTAGACTCCAGAATAATTGATGGAGGTTTTTAAACTCTAGATTCCTATTGAAAATGCATTTTTGTAATGAACTTTGAGAAAAGTAAACCAATTTCCAAAAAGTGTTTTCAGTATTGATTACTTGAAGGCATGATATTGTTGTTAACTGCTCTCAAAAAATCTCTTCTTCAGAAGTTCTATTTTGCATTGATTACATGTATCCCTGGACTTTGGGATTCCATGAATTGAAGGTTAGGCTGTACCATCAACATATTTTGTGTCCTCTGTCATCCCTTGATTCATTAACTTTAACTCGGAGCCTTTGCCTACCTTCAGTGTCCTTCCAGAAGCATGGAACAAGGAGGACAATCTGTGTCACGTCCCTCTGGCTGCACTGCCCTTCCTTTGGAATCCAGTGATGGTGTTGCCAATTTTACCGACTTTTTTTCATCCTCAAGGCACTCAGCAAAGGGAAGGGACAATGGAATGCATGACCCCAGTGCAACACACTGCTGTGGGGCGTTGGCTGCTGAGTGAAATGGCACTTGGGCCAGCACTGTTCCATGCCCAGAAAAGTACAGAAACTCTTCTCTTTAGCAAATCTGCAGAGAGTTAAACTTCCTCTTGTCTCTCTTGATAGTGGAGGTCAGTGCTTGTACTTTTGAGTTGGTTCTGCCTAGAGCTTGGCACAGGGCAAGTGCCTCATCTGACTTTATAAATAGAAATTCAGCATCTTCCCCTGGTTGATCTGTCTGACAGCTGCACCACCGTGTGCTCCTCTTACACTGCTCCTCAGGGAGTTTTATTTCACCAAACTTGGCCTAGTGAGGCCTCAGAAACAGTCCAGCAGGTCCCTCTGTGGGATGCCAGCCCACACTGAGGCAGCTACCTAGAGCCATTTCTGGGCTTTTATTCAAACTCTGATCTAAATGATGCTCTGAGAATTGATTCAGGGTGGGATGATGGTGGGAGGTTTGGACAAGCCACCACCAGGGTTGCCTTTTCAGGGTGAACCTGCTCTGTCTTGAAATCTGGATTACCTTGAAGGACAGGATCTCCTTGAAAGGCATTCTTTCCTCTGGAAAACCTTGACCTTTCCTCTCTGGATGGGGTCACAATAGGATAATAAGCTAGTTTATCAGATCATATTTTTACCAAGAAAGGTGGTTAAATTTGCTTACAGGAATTGCAGAGTGAATTTCCCTGCCTGAGATTTCCCTTCTCTAAATCAGGAGTGTGTGAATCCATGTAAACTTTTGACTAATGGACTTCCCCATGGGGTATTTATTTTATATGCATGTGTTTATGTTAAATAATGTAAATTATGGAAGAGTAGGGTGTGGGAGAGCTAGAAGACCTCTTTATCAGAAACTTTAAAAAGGCCATGTTTGCATTACTCTCCCGATTCCAGCATAATCCCAGAGATGGAGAAGTTGTATATTTGAAGCAGAGCAGAAGGTGCTTCTCTGTGCTGGCATCAGACTCCAGGCTGAGCTGAGCCCTCTGGCAGGAGGAGGATCATTGTTACCCCTGGTTTTGCTTCTCCCCAGCTGTGAAGCTGGCTGAAATCAAGATTTGTATATAGGCAAACATGTACATTTTTAGTCTGTGTATTCCCGTTCCGCAGAATGCACACATCCTCTTTCTGAGTGACTGATGCTACACTGGTTCAAGAGTGATTTGTATTGCTGGAAGTAAGGATTTTGTGTAGTTTGAGGGTTTTTTACTCCAGTTGCCCTTAAACACTTCCTTGTAGTTTCTGGAGCACTTAGTCCTGGAGCACTTAGAGGTTCTTTACTGTTTTTGTAACTTTATATTATTACCTTTTTGCTGTTCTGCCTCCAGTGCCTCTTTAATTAACTAAAACTGACATAAGTTGACACCTAGTCTGGTTGGGCTGACTTGGTTTGAAATAGTACCTGATGCTAAAGCAGAGCAAACACACAATGCACAAACCCTGTGTGTCCCATTCCATGAGTCTTACCTGCTGATTTAACTCCTTCTTCATGGTGTTTTGCAGATTTTGTCTTTTTAATATGGTTCCTTTCTTCCCTTTATATTACAGTTAAGCAGCTTTATTAGCAGGTTTATTTTCTTTATTAGCTCCTGTGTACATACATGACTGTTCAAGGCTGGCAGAGTCCCTCCTGCCACCAGTGTAACTGTTCAGTGTCACAGCCAGATGTGCTACAGAGCAGAAAGTGGTATTTGATAAAAGCAACATATTCACAAACCAGGCTTTGTTGTAGCTTTCAGTGATTTTTCTGCTCTGTGTCTAAAGGGAGTGGGCTTGTCTGGCTTTTGTATCTCAGTGATATCTCTGCAAACTGAGCCACAGGGCCAAATCTTTTGCAGAGAAGCATCACTTGTGTCAATCTTTGGTAGTGGCAGCTCAGCATCCTGCCCAAATCTAGTGCTGTGTGTAGTTTTTTGGAAAACATGGTCAATCTAATTTGTAGATTGTACAAACTTGCTCTCCGTTTTCCTTGTAAACCATAACGGAACCTCATGCCAAATAAGTTAGACTGATATTAAAGCCCTTGTTTATTTTACAGTGTATGTCTGTCAGAATAAGTATTCAAAGTATAACAGTTTAAAAATTAGATTTCAAGTATTGTAGAAACAGCACCTTTTGCAAAGCTGTGTGGAATTTGAGTGCTGTTGAAGTAACCAAATTTTGAAAAATAAGGTGATTATAATTGAAATCTTCAGATAGTAATAAACTGGCTTGGATAATTAATTTGGATTTAGAGTTGCTTAATTTCTCTTGGCATTTGCAAATCCCAGACTGACTTGTGGAATGTTCTTGATTTCATTGAAAACATGTGTGACTGTTTTTGAGGGCAACAATATTTGAAGAACAAAGCAGTATCTGTTTCTAAATGGAGGTGGACAAGAAAACTTTCAGAAAACATAGCTTATGTCATTTTGGGGGGCATCGTGTCGTCTGTTTTAGAACAAACAGGCTACAAAGCAATTGAAGTCTGCTCTGTAAAAAGATTAGCTATTCTAAATAACATTTTAAATTCATAGCACTGGCAAAGCTGAAGTTTAAATCTACGATTTTCATATGAAAATCAGAATTATTAATTAGGAGCAGATCCCAAATTCATGGAACTTCTATTAGTTCTTCAGAGTAAAACAAAATACTGCCATGAGTATCTATTTCTTATCCTATGTTGAAGTATGTTTTTCTATTAGAAGATGGTATTTGATAGAATTGCCAGTATTTCTGGAATGAAACTGATTCAGAAATGAGTAATGAAGAGTGTTGCTGAATTGGACTTCTGTTGAAATACAGATTTCTGTTGATTAAAAACCTGTCTCACTATAAAAGTATCTCACTGGTAGTGGAAAATATTAACAACACTTTCTGTATGGTGATACTCCCTTTGTAAATTAATTTTAGTTGTCTCTGTGTTCAATGAGACTAAACTTTTTTTTTTTTTTTAATTCATTGCAGGACCAGTTTGACAACTTAGAAAAACACACGCAGTGGGGTATTGATGTTCTGGAAAAGTACATCAAGTTTGTAAAAGAAAGAACAGAGATTGAACTCAGCTATGCAAAGCAGCTTAGGTAAGTATGTAAAATTCTGGACTTCGAGTTGCATCTCTTCAGAGCCTGTAATCAACTCAAAGTTTGCTGTGTCAGTGGTGATTTTGTTTATAATAATGGCTTTTAGGAAATAGCTTTAATTTCAAGATTGGAAAGTAAAAGTTAATTTGAGATCCTGTTGTATTATATCTGCTAGTAATCATATGTTTTGCAAAAAGAAGTTATTGAGGTGGCTGAGCAACACACGAGGGCTTACTCACAGTTTATGCATGATTAATGGCTCAGCACTGTAATGTTTTCCATGAAATTGGGACTGCTGTGCAAAAATGCTGAAGGGTTTAAGAATTCAATGGAATAATGATCATTTGTTAGGAAAAGTTTAGGTTTTCTTTTACTAAGACAGGCCCTTTTTGAATGTGCATGGGGAGGAATTACAGGTCAGAAAGTCAGCCCCAGCCCTTGGTAATTTTTCCTATGTAGTTAAGAAGGTTACAGCCTGAGATTTAAATTACAGTTTTACAATCTTTTTTGGTGTCTTCTGATCAGAGCAGAGATATTTGTGAATTAATCTCAAATAACTGCTTCTGGGTACTGTCTACATGTCCATGTCTGGTTTGATTGTAGACAGAGACGAGTATGTGTGAACCAGACACAGAAAAAATCTTCCTTGAGGTCAGGTCCTGGGGAAGAGGTGCTAAGAACCCTCCCACAGGAGTAGATATCACCTTGCTTTTCCCAGTGAGGTAGAAAAAACTGGGAATTGATCAGGGGTGAGAAGGGAGTAAAGCACACAGGGGGTCCTGCTGAACAACGTTGTTGGCAGGCACTAGTGACCAGTGCTAAACTGGAAGTGCTGGTGTTAACTGGGAGGGGGAGAGATGGGATATTCCTAACCCCTCCAGTAAACTCACCTTTTGTTTTCATGGTGATAATAAATCTTGAGAACTCTTTCCATCTTCTTGGCTTTTAAAGAGATGGGGTCTGAGGTTTCAGTTGATCTGTGTATCTAACACAATCTCTATTAAAAAAAAAAAAAAATCACCCAGAACTTGCTTGTGTTTGAGTGGATTGGAGATGCACAATGGCCTGTAATTTATGAGGAGCTGGTAGTAGATAAATCCCTGCCTTTATGGTTGTGTGCTCTCCCAGGGGAATGCCAGGAGGATTCCCCAGGGTTTCTGCTACAGACAAGCAGGAAATAGTAAATGACTCGTGCAGGAACAAATTGCTCACATCCTATGGAGAGGAGCAGAGGTTGAATTACAGAGGCAAAATGAGCTGGAACAAAGAGAGTGTGACTGGACTGGGAAAGCCCAGCAGAGTATCTGGGTGAGCTGGCCTGTCTTAGGAACAGTCCTGCACTAGACTCACTGGAGTGTTCAGGATGACAAATTCCAGGTGTAAAGAGCTTAATTATTAAAATAAACACCCAAGCAACATGTAAACAAAAGTGAAAGTTTGTTTTACCTGTGACCATGTAGAAACTATGAATTTCTTTATTTCTTATTCTGTCCTAGACTTCCCAGAAAACCATGGTCTGTTTGTTTCTTGCCTCTCTGTATTTTTATGGTTTGAGGACAAATACATCTGCCCCCAAGGAGCTCTTAAACACAGGGCTGCTTGCAAGCATCTAAGAAGTTAGAAGTACAAAAGAAAAAACCAAAAAAATGTAGACTTGTCAAGTGTTGAGGTAAAACAGTGCTGGACATTAAAAAAGAAAAATAAATCATGCATCTGCTTTTATTTAATAAGTGTCCTTAAGCCTGGTGCAAACCTTTTTTCTGCCACATCCATTTGGTGTAAAAGGGCTGCATCACATCACTGCATGTCATAACATGCAGAAAATGTTATTAAAAAGAGACAGGTTAACTCCAGGTACTCCTGTGGATGTAACTCTATTTTGTTTGTAGTGTAAGTAATGCTGCTGGAATTTATTTCCTTCTGTACAACTTGTATTTTCTGTTTCATCCCTGGCTTCCCTAACTAGCTATTTCTCCTCTCTATCTACATCTCAGCCTGGTCATCTATTGAAGTGAAATTTTCAAAAGTGAAATTTTCAAAAACATTTCTTTCCTCCTTTGTAATTCTGCTAATGTATATTTAATGTTTTAGGTGAGACTTACATAGCATTTAAAATTAGTCTGGTTTGGGAGTCCTCTTCAGATCTGACTTGGTTATTTTCTTGTTTTGTACTTAAATTTTGAGGAACACATGTTTGTCTGTGCAAATCTGCCAGCTTTCTGGCTACTCCTCTGTTGGGGCAGATGCTCCTTAATTCCTCAAGGAGAACAAAAGGAATAAGAAATGTGAGATGAGAGGCCCTGTTGTCCCCAAGTCAGCAGTAAAACCAGCATCAGCAGGGAATGGGTTACACCTCTGAAAAAGCAGTTTCATTACAACTTGATGTGTTCTGGGAGTTCTCCAAAGAGTTTGGCATGGATAATTTGATAAAACTCAGTCCTCCTTCGGACAATGATCCATCAATACTCCCTGTGTGCTGCTCTTCATCACTGAAACAACCTTGTAAAACTAAACCAAATGGCTTCCCTTTCACAGCAGGGTGAGAGGCTGCCAGAGAGAACAGAGTAATGAGGCTCAGTTTAGGACAGAGGAGCACTGAAAAGCCCTTAAAATTGGTCAGCTCTGTGCTGTGCACTGGCTGAAGGGTGTGCTGTGCTGCAGTGCAATGTGCATCCCGGTGCTGATACCAGCAAGGTGCACTGAGAGCCAGGTGGGCATCACACCTTCCCAAATCCCTGGATTTGCTGCTGATGAGAGGCTTGTGGGGCAATGAAAAACATACAATTACTGTCAGATGTGCTCACAGCAAGCTTCAGGTTTCTTATTTAAGATACAATCACTCCAAGAGCATATTGGTGTTTTAAAATTAAATCAGTAGTTGGCTGGGGGATAATGAGATACAATCATCTGTGCTAATTAGGATAATCAAATGTCACACTTCCCCCAGCATTAGTTGATAATCACAAAATGAACCCCCTTTTGCTATCTCAGTGCAGCTTCCCACAGCTTTGTGAAGGTTTTTTTTGCCTTCTAATCATCCTGCTAAAGGCAGGCAAACCTGCCTGGCCAAGAGTGTCATCTGCTGCTTCAGATCTCCCTTTCCTGGGGTGACTCCTGCTCTAAAAGAGCCTCTCCTCTAGATCAGGTGAAGGAGATCTGTGCATCAGCAGAACCACAACCCAGGTGTGTTGACTTCATGACCTCAATTTAGCAACTTCTTGGGTTCAGAATCTGCTACTTTGCTGTAGTTCCAGGCTGGAGCACTGTGCAGCCCATTCTTAGCGTTACTACAGCACAATCAAAGCCTGATTATTATAGTCATGCTTCAGGAGAGGTGTCTGCTCACTGCAGATAAAAACTCCAGACTCACAGAATGCGTGTGCAGCTAAAGATCATCAGTAAACTTCAAAGGATATTTTAAAATTTTATTTTATATCTCTGTATTCTTAATTTTAGGAACCTTTCAAAGAAATACCAACCCAAGAAGAACTCCAAAGAGGAGGAAGAATACAGGTATGTTCACAATTCCCTGCTGGGTGGGCACACATTGATGGAGGAATGGCAAAGTTTGGGTCATCACCTAGGATTTGGCTTGTAAACCCAAGATTTTAATGTCAAGTTAAAGAACATAGACCTCACAGATGCAGAAACAGGCTTATGGGGTAGATACTAAGGAGTGGATTTGACCTGTAACTACTCAGTTCCCTTATGTTGCAGTTTCTGGGTAGGGGTTTTGGTTTAATTTGTTTTTTAATGTGCCTTAAAACCTTCAAGCCAGACTGATCCTGCTTCTCTGAAGTGAACAACCAAATTCATATCTGCTTTCAGCAGGAGCAGAAGCAGTTGTTAATTTTAGCATGAAACTCAAGCACTCTGTGTAAGTATTAAATTACTCAAACAGGCTGACAACACAGATTAGTAATTTACAAAAGGAGTAATGTTCTGACACCACAGTGGCTCCTGCAGAGCAGGGTGGAGGTTTGTACTTGCAGTATCCTGGGGCTTGCTGCTGTTGAAGGATGTGGCACAGCCTCACCTGTCTGCTTGTGACTCACCTGCTCAGACCTGTCCCCACGGCAGGGGATTGATGTTGTGCTCGCAGGCAGCAGCAGAGAGCTCAGCTCCTTCTCTGAGCAACAAGGTCCAGGAGATGAGACACCCTAAAAACACCCCTGCTCTTTAAGGAGAATTTTCTAGAAGATGAGCTTCCCACCAGACTCTAAATCAGAGTGAGAACCTTTCCCCTTAGAGCACTCCTGCTCTTGGGGAGAATAAATATATTCTTTAAGGAGAATTTTCTAGAAGATGAGCTTCCCACCAGACTCTAAATCAGAGTGAGAACCTTTCCCCTTAGAGCACTGTGACCCCGGAGTTTCTCAACGTCAGGGTTTTGTAATGCAGCTCTGAAGGAAGGCATGGCAGGGGCTGACCCTCAGCCTGGTGTTCCATGAGGCTGCTCTGCCTCTGGAGAGCCCAGCAGCAGCCTCAAACCCTTGACCTTGAAATTTGACATGTTTCAAAAGAGTTTGGATATGGGTCTGGTTGGATGATTATATTAATATAGATTTTTTGGGTCAGCCCCCCGAGCTGCTCTATACAGCTACTCCAGTGGCTTGTGTAACAGAGATAACAGGCTTTTTGCTTGCTTTTTAATTTATTTTTAGTAACATTGTTTGGGAATCAGTTATTTATGCCATTGTTTCCTGAGATATTGGTATTTACACAAGGAAGATTATGTTACCAGCACAGTGGCTGTTTTGGTCTTTACCCAGGATTAGGAATAAATCTGCCTTTGGATAGCTCTACCATAAATGGGTATTTTGAATTTACTACAATGGGTTTTGGCACATCCTTCATTGCTGAAAAAGGATATTGGAGTTGAATGATTCTATGTGATGTGGCACAGAAGATCCTGTGTATCCTTTGCCCTTTATAAATACAGTGTTCACCTCAATGAAGATACTTCATGTCTCAAAACAATGTCTGGGGATTTGTCATGTGACCTTTGGGTGCCTCAGATGCTGCTTGGAGACAACCTGGCTAAAAATCAGCTTTTTCAAGCTAATTGTCAGTCTCCAGTTCTGTGCTTTTTTATACCTTGGGATTTTTTTGCAATTGAGATTTCTCTCATTTCACATCTTGACTGTGAATGTTTCTGCTTGTAAAGGTTTTAGTCCCTTTTAGTCCATTTTTTAGTTTCTCCTGTTTTTATTTTCATCTGATGCCTTGTTCATCCCTACTGGTACCACTCCATTCTGTTGCCTCTAAATAGCTCCCTCTTTGCTCTGATTTTTCACCTTTAGGTGATGTTATCAGTGCAGGCCACTATTATTTTAGAATTAGAATAATAAAAACAACAACAACAATAGTTTTTCTAGTATGTAGTAGTGTCTTGCTGCTGGCTTCCAGCTGCCCAGCACAGCCAGCTGGGGTATTTAAATGCAGCTCTGTTGGCACTGGGCTGAATATACCAGTGACATAATCTGCTGCTTCAAAATTTGTGTGCACAGATGTTTCTTCCTTTCTATAATACATGGAATGCTGTATGGGAGATTATTTGATATGAAAAAATAAACCTTATGATGGAAGGTACTAAAAAAAATGGGTTGACAATGAATACCTGGTTAGTAAACTCTCTACTTATTTGAAAACTTTATAAGCTATATCTGATTTAAATAAAGTTTACACTATGAAAAACTTTCTTTTCTAGGCTATGCTGGCCAAAATTTTGCTTGCTTAGACAGGATTTTTCCAGGTAGGATATTCCGATGACTCTGTGCACTGAATTGTAGGACTTCAGAGAGTATAACTAGAAATGTTTGGTGAGTAGAGATTAGAAAACTGAAGCCCCAGAGCTGTGCTGATAAAGAACCTGGCACTCTAAAGTGGTGATATTTTAAGAGCCAGTGTCAAACTGTCTAAATTGAGATAGACTTATCAGACAACTGTCATTGTGTGGGACAGGCTTCCTTTGGAGAAATTCCTTCCAGTGAATCTGTGCTAATTCATAGCAATGCTGGGTGCTTGAGGAGGATCCCAGCTCCCTTTGCAGTGTGTCTGTCTGAAAACCAAAATGCATTTCTGTCCTTTGCAGGTACACATCAACTAGAGCCTTCCTAGCCACTTTAAATGAAATGAATGACTATGCTGGACAGCACGAGGTCATCTCAGAGAACATGACCTCTCTGATCACTGCAGAGTTAACCCGCTACGTGCAGGAGCTGAAACAGGAGAGGAAATCGGTAACCCATCCTTTTTTATTCATTATTCACGAGGAATTGCTATTGAAGACAGCTAATTAGCGGTAGTGGAGTTCCATGTTAAGTGAGATTTATTTGTAGTTAATAAACATGAGCTGTGCTAATGAACCAAGCATTAAAGAAGTGGGTTATGTGCCCTGGCCAAGTCGCTGAACCGTTTGAATCAAATGTTATAAAATCAGACAGGAATGGCTGCAGGAGAATCCCTCCTAAATAAGGTCAGAGACCCATCTGTGCTTAGGGCTCTGTTAGCCAAAAGCTTGCTTGGGGAAAAGTCCAGCAGCACTGTGTAAAGCCTGAAATAAACAGAGGAACTGCAGTGCTGAGGCTGATTGGAAGAATTATTTGGATTTTGATTCACATTTTTCATGCTTCTCAGCCAGATCTGGCCAAGGGGACTCTTTAAAAATGACTTTGATAAGAAATAGGGGGTTTGTCTTGTTTGGTGAAGGGAGGGAATGTGGGTTTCAACCTGTTGTCCTTCAAGACTGGTAGAATTAATAGCTTTATGTTAGTGCTCTATTGCAGCTGGTACTTCAGGGACCTATGTGCCTGCTAGAGTGAATGTTCAAAGCTGATTAATTTGCACATCACCAGCTCTGTAAAAAGGATAGTTGAGATGTGATTTCCTTCTTTGCCTTGAACCCTTTTATCTTCTGGATGTGTGAGCGTAGAAGAAGGATTCTAAGCACTACAAATACTCACAGAACAGGTATAAAATGACTAAGCAAAGTGCAAAGGGAGCATCAGAGCATTATATTTCATTTTCAAGCTGTTGGTCTATTTTGGAAAGTGCAAAAATACTCCTGCAGAACTTAGACATTTATAAATAGTCCCACTAAACACCAAGCATGTGTTGAGGTGCTGTGTGGGAGCAGAGCTCTGGAAATCACCACCTTTTTCTAAGTATAGCATTCGAATGATAATTCTGTCAACAGAGGAAAAGAATATATAGACATAGCTTTAATCTGCAAAATGGTGTGTAATCTTTCAGGGACAGCATGGAAGGATGTTTTACATATAGCTGTGATGAGAATGTTTTCTTAGCCCCTCTGTAACCTTGTGTCCAGCTTGGATCTTTGCAAAAAGTAGAAAAAAAGGGGAAAAAAAGCAGCATTCCAGTGTGGCATTTTTCTGTCAGCTCTTGTTTTTACCTATTTTTTCAATTACATGGGCATATAAGTTGGTTGGAATATCTACATGTTCTAAGTACCATGGAAGAGAGACTTGCAATATTTCTTGTAAAGAATTTGAGGAGTAACTATTGTTTTTTTGTTTTGTTTGTAAACTTTTCTAGTAAGTATGGCTCATATAAGTAAGGGGTGAATGACAGGAAAATGAGTTTAATATTGGCCTAGTGATGAGAGCATGGGAACAGCAAAAGGCAACTGAGTGTATTTACCTGCTGTTGCTGATAATTACTGGCCTTTAACAGAAAACACTTGTCAGTCACAGTTGTTTTGCTCTTGCAACACAAATAGAAGCTTATAGGAATTAGGAATCCTTGTCTGGTTCCTGTAGATTTCTTATTCATGTGAAAATGGTGTTGAAAAGGAAACTGTTCCCGCCCTCAGGCATTTTTCATACACAACCTCTCACTTCATCCTGTAAAAGCATTGATCCTGGTGAGATCTGCAGGAGGGGAGGGTGGATGTTGTGTAAATATTACAGAGAGCTGCAGCTTAGGAAAAACCTTTTATGATATCACTTAATGAATGACTTGGTACTTCCAGAAATTTTGTTGGCAGAGTTCTCGTGCTCGCTGTTTGTTCTGCCATCAACTGCTGTGCTCCAGGTCCAAAGAATCATTTGGATGAGCCACTCCTGGGGCTGGGTCCATGTGTAGGAGTTGGGAGACCCACATTCTTGTCCACTGAGTCTTGAATTAAGTCATTCAGGTGTCCAGATACCTGTAAAATGGTACACATTTCCAGTGATTTCAGCATGGCTGTGGTAGATAAGCACTTTTGCTCTTTTGGTTTTACTTTCCCACCTGGAAGATGGAAATGATACACAGAGGTGTCATAGCTGTAAATGTGTGAAAGATGCACTCAAGTCCAGCAGAAAGTGGACAGGCAAATCGGAATGGGGTTGGAAGGGACCTTAGAGCTCATCCCATTCTCACCCTGCCATGGGCAGGGATAACTTGACCAGCCTGCACCAAACCCTGGCCAACCTGTCCTTGGAACACTTCCAGGCATTGGGCAGCCACAGCTTCCCTGGGCAACCTGTGCTGGGCCCTCAGCACCCTCACAGGGAAGAATTTTTTCAAATATCTCTAAATACAGCTTCTGTTTCCAAAGGAAACCCCTTTGATGCACAGGAGTGTTTGCTGGAGTTGTGGGCAATGAGTGTGGCTGGTGATCTTTGAACACGTGGGGGCTGGTGCCTGCCTGCTCTGCTCTGTTTTCATGCTCATTTAGCTCTATTGATTCAAGTGGAATTACACCAACAGATGATCAGGGTCACACAGTAATAAATCACTTCTTGGGTTTTCCTTGACAACTGCAAGCCCCTGGCCTGTAAGTGATGCAGAACAGATACTCTATCATGCCTTACATTGGTTTTATGCTGGGTAAAATTCATTTGGCATGCAAATTGTAGATATGTTGGGATTGTTTGGCTCTCTGAAAGATGTGCTTGATGGCTGCCTATGTCATGTTTTTTCTATAAAAGATGGTTGCTAGTGGTGAAAATAAGGAAAGAAGCAAGTGATCAAAACCAGGCGGGACAAATGTGCAGGTTGGACAGTGGGATGATTTGCAAGGTCAGTGCTTTGGTGCTGTTGTTCAAAAGAGAGATACCTCCTTTTTCCTCTGATCTGATTCAGAGCTTGGGCGAGTTCTGGGTTATCTCTGCATTCTTTCAGATCCTGTGCTTTGCTGCATGATGGCTTTTGACCTTCAGAAAGTAGTTACAAAAAATCAGGCAAAGACTCCTTGTGTGAAACTTAAATATCTTTAGGAGCAAAGGTAAATCAATGACTTTATCACATTACACATTCCTCTTCCATAGGATTGCTCTCAATGTTGTCTCTGTACCAAATGAATTGTTTTGCCCTCACAGTCACTGAAGTCAGGTACACACCCTGCCTGCTTTTCACACAGTGAGAGGGAGAACTCCTTGTGTTGTTTCAGTTCTTCCCAGCTGCCCAGTGAAGTGAAACTCTTTATAGTGCAGTTCCTCACTTGAACTTCTTCTTGTACTGTCTTGATCTTACTGTGTCCATACTCTCTCAGGAGAAATTCTCATCCTCAAGGTCCTTGTTAGCTGGTTAAAGATCAAATTTCAGTTCTATGTTGTGTGAAGGGCATGTCCCATCCATATTCCCCTTGAGGTTGTTGAGGTTAGATGCCTGTGACTGAATTGCTGTTGGAAGATGTCATCAAGTCACACAAAAGAGGTGGGAATCACCTCTGAGTGGTTCAGGGGAAGAACTTGCTTCTGCAGTCATGCTTCATGTCACCCCAATGTCACCAAAGCCTTATTTTGAGGTAGCTCTCAAACATGTCAGGTTTGACCTTGATGATCTCAAAGGTTTCTTCCAACCTTATGATTCTGTAACCTGCAGTATTACAAAATTGGCTCTTAATCTTGTCCATCTTTGGCAAAAAGTGGTGATCCTGTCACGTCAAGAGGAGTGTTTGGACTTTACTTAACAAGCACTGACATGTAATACACTTCTAGGTTGGAAGTGTACTGAGCCAATCATTGAGAATTTCTGTTTACTGGCTTATATTTTTGCCTTAACACTTCACAGGACGTAGTTGATTTACAGATCCAGCTATGGCTGAGGAATCCATCCAATTCTGTAATTTGAATGGAAATTAAAGAATTATTTCCTGGGGCCATTCTGATTTAGAGCTCTGGTCACAAACTAGGTCTGACTCTCATGGCCTCCTCTGGCAGCAGCTGCTCTGGGTAGCCACTGCTCATGGCAGCTTTGCTAAAAATGTATTTGGGATCATGAACTATCCCTCTTATTACTGCTGCTGCTCTCACCTCTACCTCCACCTCCCCTTGGGGTTGGTCTGGCTCCATACAATCGAGCATGAAAATCAGGTAGAAGCCAAGGGCTTTGCTGCAGACTGAACTGGTGCAGCACTGGGATTCTGTGGTTGGGAGAGAATTTACCTGATGTCAATACATTCCATTTTGTGTGGGGATAGAAGGGGAACAGGGAATGAATGAATCCTTATTGGGTGTCATGGGGGCAAAACAGGTCTGGTTCTTTTTGGTGGACCCTCCTTGTGTGCATTCATCCAAGGGGTGCCTCTCAGAGGACTTTCTGTTTCTTGTAGGCCCTCAGGTGTTGATGAAAAGTAAATAATTGGAGGAATTCTGTCACGTTCACTCATTCTGAATAGTGCCCTGTTCTGCAAATAGTCCTGTGGTTTTCAGAGGATTTCTCCAGTGTGGAGCAGGCGTGAGGCAGGGTGGCAGCACACGGCCCTGTCAGGAGCACAATGGATTTTTCCATGTTGCATTTTGGATGTGCCTCAAGGTCTGTGTGTGTTTGGAGCACAGCTCTGCTTTGTGCTGCAGGGGCACAGAGAGACATTGCTGCCTTCCAGAAGTCACAAACCAATGGCCACGTGAGGGGTGGGAAAAGGAAAAGAGTGACAGTGAAAGGAAGTGATTTGCCAAACTTCAGATTGATGCAATTTAAACCAAGCTTTCCCCAACTCTTGTTTTGTGACTAACCCACTTCTAGCTCATTGCCCTATGAATGAAGGTCTTAGTTTTAATCTAAATATAAAGGTATTTATGGGAATTTGTTGTGCTTGATAAATACACTGCACAACAGTCCTATTCTAAATATTCATTCCATTTTCTTGTGAGATGTTTCAGCTGTATTTTGTTACATTAAATTGTACCAGTAGAGTGTTAAGTGGTAATTATTAAAAAAAAATTAAGAATGCAGAAAATTATTTAGGAAAGATCATAATAAATTCTGTGTTTGTTTGGAGTGTTTTTTGGTT